TCCAGGTGCGGGAAAGAAAGCAGGAAAAACCGGGAGCGGGCCGCCTCACCGCTCTTTACATTAATGGACCGCCCCAAAGAAATCCAAACACCGAAATGTTTGCACACACATGTGATTATGCATAGACGTCCACCCTACCAGCCAACGTCAGACCTCAAGGCATGCACACATTAATGCACATACATCTGCACACATCCAGAGAAACACTCCCCCAAAGAAATCCAAACATGGAAAATTTTGCGCACACTGCACACACATTCAGAGAATGTTCTGGTGAGTCTCCACCTGTTGCAGGTGAGTGCTGCCTGGACTGTCTCAAGACAGACCAGATCAGCTGCACCACAGACACTTCATACCTCATCTCAGGAGAAAAACTGAAAGAACAACATAAAAAAGGAGAAAACCGACCTCAGAAACATGGACAACATCTGTTTGATTAGACTAACAAATAATGGTTGGCCATTTTCAGGTGCTCGCCTAACCTTCAGTAGTTGTTCGAGCTCATCGAGACGCTTAAGTTTTATATATCGAGTTTCCTTGGATTGATAATCTGTCTCGTATTGAAATTGTTCTTTGGTCAGTTTTGCCTGTTGCAGATTGACTTTATATTTTATAATTTGGTGGCCTGAATACTTTGAACATATAGAGATAACTTGTGCTATTTTACCAATGTTAGTGAGAATAGAAACCCAGTTTCTGTCTATATGCCCCTTAAATTGAAATATTGCCTTTTAATCTTTAGGACATTAAGTTCCTTGCAAAAAGGAAAGTCAGAGGATAGTGGATTGGTGAGATGGGTGTGTCAATCCAAGTTAAAGAAGAGTTGAGTCTGACAAAACTACTTTGAATATTGTGTACATGAATTATTTATATATCAACTCACATACACTTACACCATGTAAGGAAAAATCACAAAGAAAATGATCCATGTTCTCTGTATAAGTACTTAGTGCCCAGGACCTTTAGGCTCGGTGCTGACTGGTGAGACAAAGCTGATGTAATCAGTCAGTTGGCAAAGTATTGAGAACTGTAACCTCTTAAGTTATGTTGTGTGAAGAAAAAAAGTCCAGGGATTTACTTAATATGTTTAATTTACTTAACACCTTAATATGAAAACTAAACGGCAAATTCCATGATGTATTTTTTAAGCAGGAACCCACTGTGAATTCTCTCTGAGGCCCAAAAAACAGATGGTGAGAGTACTATCAGTTTGGTCATTGTGTTGTAGTGGTTTTGATTCCAAGTTTTCAGGGTGCATCATTGGCTATAGCAGATGTTTTAGAAGAAAAGGTGAATTAAGTTCTATGTATTTTTTTAAAAAATGATCTGGCTTTTATTCATTTTATCTGTTTTAATTCTGTTATTATGAGAGGATCCCACTCCTTACAACAGTGCTGCCAGTTTTCCATGATAACAAAGTTATTTATATAGTTATTATAAGTTCTTATCTTTATATTGATTAAAAGACTATGCTCTACACAGTCCTGTACATTTTCTTTTATTAAAAAATGAATATAAAATCTGCCCTAGCACTTGCACAAGTGATGGAATTTCCTTATAAATTAATTTTAATACTGGCAAACGACTTATTAGTGTTGCATAGAATTTAAAAATAAAATCAGTTTCCTCTCGGGTTGACCCCAGCACTGTCCATTTTAATTGTTTTCTCACATTACTGTGCAGTTAAAAAAAAAAGGTCTGCTTAGGTTGCATTCCAATTCTAACTGAAAAAAAAAATATTGCAGGAAACTTGTCTGGGCAGTGCTTTTCTATGATGCCCTAATTTACATTTTTCACTTGAAATATCAAATTCATCTGTGTTTAGTGTTTGAAGCCGATGATCACTGTACAAATTCAGTTAACGCATAGAACCAAATATAACCAATTTAATGTACTTTTTGTTGCGGAGCTACTGTTTTGTTGTTCTTAATAATTTGTCCAGCCGATGTTCTCGTTTGGTGTCGGCGTTATCGCGGGATGTGGTGCCGAGATACGCTAGCTCCGTTTACCTAGAGTGTAACTGACAGAAAGCCCAGCCTGGAGTTTGTCGGCGCTGATGGTGAATAGCCACTGCTGCGGTGACGGCCGGAGGAGAAGAAGCCGCAGAAGGAGTCAGCAGTGGCAGAGGAGTGACAGTTTGGACTTAGTCTTATAGATTTAGCAGTATTACGTATACCATCGGATCTTTACAAACCTAAAAGGGAAGGGAAGGGAGAAATAAGGAAAGATGGCGGCCGCGGCCTCGCCGGGCTCGGGCTCGTCCACCTCCTCAGACTGGATTGTGCTGAGAGACGGTTGCCTGCGTTGCGACGAGGAGGGCCTGCTAAGCCTGTCCTACCACCCGGCCCTCAACGCTATCTTGGCCGTCACCAGCCGCGGCAGTATTAAAGTAATTGACGGCACTTCGGGGGCCATTCTTCAGGCTTCAGCATTGCACGGTAAATATCGGAGTCCTCTGTCAAGCCATGTCACCAGCAGTTTCAGTTTTGACAAGCCAAACACTGACTGTCAACAGACACTAAACACGACACTGGCTGAGTTGTAACCTCAGCCCGCTAATGTTAGCTCTTACTAGCATGGCCTAGTCAGGGTATTTGGCAACTAGGATTTATTTAGCCTGTTCTGCCTAAACCAGGGTCATCGTCTTTGGACATTGGTGTGTTTATGATCAAACAAGTTCAAGTTCTTCTTGAACACCAGCGTTTGCTAATGTTTACTATAGCTGCAACTTGACATATCTCCCATGTCTGCTAATAGCTGGAAAGTGCCAGTTAGCCGGTTAACCTTCCCGGTCAGTTTCTGTCATATTGGTGGTCATGGATGATGTGTCGTTAAAACTACAGTTTACACGGTGGCTATCTGAAGTATCAGAATTACTATCACCCGCTTGGATGTGGTACTATGTTCTTCGCTGAATTGTTGTGATAGTCAGTAGGCTAGCTAGCGGCTCCCCGGGTGCTTTACTTCACAACCCACCGGGTGCACTGTCAGTTGTTTGGAAGTACTGGTGTGATGTTCAAAGTAAACTCACTGTGCCAGTGTAACAGTGTGGACGTGTTTGTTCACATCAGTTAACTTAATAAAGCTTTAGAGAGTTTGTCAGAAAGTTACTTTTGACGGAACATGTTAAAGCATTGTATAGTCAGGTATAGGAGGAGCACGACTCAACGTGCTCCTCCTATACCTGCCTATTGTACCATGGTGTTTAAACATTAGTGCATAGATGGAGTTTTTACAGAACTGGTGAAAGAGAAATTCATTACCATTGCTGGTTTGGGTGCCCCATAGGAAGCTGTGTTATTGTTAACATATTAATGGCACCCGTTTGCTAATGGTTGCGTGTCTTTCATCCTGACTTTTATTATTGAATAAAATTTGCATATTTCGAAACGTCTGTTTATTAGGATTCGTTTCTTATAATGGCACCTGTTATTACTTTGTCTAAAGAGGTAATAGGTAGAACCTTACAACAGCTACGTTTTTGGTGCTCTTGGTCTCTTTGACTCTGGAATATTATGTAAACAAACAAACAAAAAACCCTGCTTGCTTTTATGATTTGCAGTCCAAGGTGGATTGATATGGGCAAAGGAACCCACTGAATTCTGGTGGCAATCTGAATAGAGGTCTGTTGATTTGGCTGAGGAATTTCATATCATATCAGAGAGGAGTATTGGCTTTGGAAATGGTATTTGCTCATAATGTTCACCTCTGATTTCCTCATCTTATAAAGGTCCACCATATTGGACGTGATGTGCGGTAACAATCATGTCATATGTATGGCCAATATGCGTACTTAACATAGAAATTATTGTTACTTCCTCCCCCCACCCTCACAAGGCCTATATCATGCTGCGTGGTTAGGTACATTAATAATCAAGGACAGAAAGAGATTTTTTTTTCTAAAACACTATCCTGTTGTTTCAGATAAAAGAATTGGAAAAAGATCAGATTAATAGTATAACAATCTTACATTATTTGACCTTGTGAAATCACCATTGTCAGTTTCAAGCAATATTTGACCATTTAAAACTTTTACATTTATATTTTCATGATATCTTTCTAGGTTTTTTTTTTCCTTTCTCATCTTCTTCAGCTGCCTATTCCGGGACTACTCTTGCTTTCTCATATCCACCTCATCCTCTTCTCCGTCATGTTGAGCTTCATTCCTGAACTAAACTTAGGGTTGTAACATAAGAAATTCTACATAAACACATTTAATTTAATCTTGTTATTGTCGCAATTAGCTATCGTTAGCAGATCAGACATGCGACGCTGTTGTCTCTGGACAGCTGACATGAGATGGCTAAACAACAACATAATGTTAAAAGCTAGCGTCATGCCAGCTAACATTAGGCTCTAGCATCCTAAAACTTTTAAACTATCTCCACTCTGATCACCAGTTTGATTACATTCTCACACCACAAGAGTTCATTTGGCTTCAAAGAAGTTTCGTTAACAGCCATGAATAACAGCAAAAAGGAGCTAACAGCTGCACAGCAGTGGAAAATTCTAACAATTCACCTCAGTATCACTGTCATTAATCAGAAATGAGCTATACTGACTCGTTTACTCATAGTTGCTATAGTTTGTCCCATTTACATAATTTTTAACAGGTTTTTCATTTTGTTTCAGGAGTTTTACACATCCAAAATGGTCAACAAGTTAATATCACGTGTCTGCAAAACCTCTATAGAGCTAAATGACTTGGTGCTTCCATTATAAAGTGTGTTGTTTTGTGGCTAAGAAATGGGAAGTAGACTGAACTCATGATACAAAAATCCATATTGTTTTACAGTTGTTCCATCTTACTTTACCATAAAGACCATGTGGAGCTGTTCAAGTATGCTGGGTCACTGAAAGCTGTATTGCTCAGCTAATGAGGGAACTGGAAAAGCATCAGTAATGTTTTTTTTAATTTTTTGTTGATGATTATCCAATGGTTCTTGTTGGATGCAAGTAGGTAAAAATCACTGGAGGCACTTTGACTTCATGTTGAGTGATTACAAAGAGACCAATGCCTATCAAGTCTAAGTCTTAATCAGGGTTAAACTCGGAGCCAGAATTAAATACCAGCAATTAGCAGCAATTTGCAAACATCTGACGCATATTATAGAACCCCGAAGAACATCAGAAATAAAGCATCTAAAGCATTTTGGAGTTATAACAAAAGGGATGAATCTCGACATCATTATCAGTTTAGAACACATTAATAGTTTTATCTTGATGTCTTATCTTGATTGTGTTGTTTTTAATGATTACTGAAGGTCAAAATTATTACAGTAGATAAAATTATAGATCAGATTTGATGTAAACATATAAACATTATTACTACACATAGTCTCTCGTGTAAATGTCAGACTTAAACCAAAAAATTACCACGGTTAAAATTTTTAGCCCCCATTGGTAATAGTCAGTTGCATAACCCTTTTGCTGGTTATCATCCTGCAGTTGTTAGTTGTGATTTTCAATATGTCTCACACGTTTTTTAACAACCCAAACTCAATCTTCCCAGACAAGTCTCTCAAACCCCTCCAGATTTAATGTCGTCTGACATGGACCTTGGTCTTCAGTTCATACCACAGATTTTTAAAGATTAAAGTCAGAACTTTAAGAAGATTCCTGTCTGTTTTTTCTAGTTTTTTTTACTTCCTACCTTTCTACCTTATCTTACCTTAAAGAAGAGCAAACACAACAGTCAATGAGTATTATACTCGGACAAAAAAAAGTTGATCTGTGTATAAAGAGTAATTGAGATGTAAAACCACCTCACCCCTGGCGCAACGACGCCAGGGGTGAGGTGATGTGATGAGGTGATGAGGTGATTTATCCAAAAGACCCTGATGGTCTTTTGGATAAAATTGAGGCACAGGCAGCCAGAAGGGGACAGAGGGGGGGATGCCTCCCCTGCACCCTGGTGACACACCTTTACCCCAAGGCCCTGCATGTGTGGGTGATTGTGGTGGAGCAGGAAGAGGGATGTTAGGTCTTGATGGCAGCAGGGCGGCTGTTATGTTGTGGAAGTATTTCTATTATTTTGATGTAGTGATAAGTGTCTCTAAGCTTTTAACGGCTTGCTGTTCTCTCCCTGGTGAATGGGGACATATGGCGATGTGACATCTGCTGGCACAAGCTGCTGGTTTGTTTCTCATTTCAACCAGTTGTGCACCTCTTGATTTTTGTAACCTTGTGCATTGGTGCTGCTGTTTCGGCCAGGTTGAGGACAGGAGTTTACGATCATGTCAGTTTTGTACTAGTTTTTACAGAAGCTCAGAGACCAAAAACATGAGGCTTTGGGGGAAAAAAAGGTCGTCAAATTCTTTGCTTCTAGTTTTGACTTTTTCCTATACCCCAGCTGATGTGGAGATGTTGTCTGAAGAAGAATATTGTTGTTCAAAAGAATATTGCAGCGGCACTCACACTGTAAGTACTGGTATAAATGATATGGAGCTGTGGTAATGTCATGGTCGCCGTGTGAAGCGGAAGTATTGGAATGGCCAATCTGCCTGCAGTGATCTCTATTGTTGTTGATGGAGACAATATGTGGTACAACCACTGTGTGGGACACTTTTGCTTGTACTGTTGTTGGTCTGTCATCCAGATGGAGAACAGTGAAACTATAACATAAAAAGTGCTCAAGTGGATCCAACTGTTTAAAAATAATAATTGTCCACTGCAGTAGACATTTTTTGTGCTTTTCCCTTCCTTGTTCCAGCTGTCCTTAATCACTTCCAGTGATTTGCAGTTAGGGTTTTGGAGGACAGCACAAAAGCTCATGTGCAGTGGCTGAAAACCTATCTTTAGCCCCTTGTCTGAACAGAAATGTATACATTGATGAAAAAGTTTGCAGAAGCAGAAATGCTTGAGGAGCTCTGATTTGCATTTTGAAGGAGCACCTGCAGATTCACAACCCTGTTGATGAAACTCTGAAGTAATCAGTATGTGGAAATTTACCATTCTTCTTGCATCTGATAAATTGCTTGCTACCAACAGTGAATGGCAATAAAATATCAACTGCATTGATTTTAATGGACACGTAAGTTGGTTCCAGCATGTTTTGCATATAATGCATTAGTGACATATAAACAGCCTTTTCTCCTTCAGACATTCACATTGTCTCTGTCTCTGTCCTAGCTAAACCTGGTGGCCGTGTCAGGTGTCAGTACTTTCCCGCAGTGGACAAGGTGCTCTTCGTGGACGACTATGCAGTTGGATGCAGGAAGGACCTGAATGGCATCCTGCTCCTGGACACAGCCCTCCAGCCACCAGTGGCAAAACCTGAGGATATGGTTCAGCTAGAGCTACCGGTCACAGAGGTGAGAGAACATATTTGCCCTTCAATTCACTGTGTACATGGACATCTGGTCTCTGTTTCAGAAAGTTAGGTGGAAACTGAGTAGCTTAAGCCTGAGATTAAACTTTGGGTTTTCTGTTACAGAAACTAACCAATTTCTGTAACTGTAATGACTCCATTACCATGGTTGCAGACTCTAACCTTACTTGCGCGATGAGTTTTTTTTTTCAATTGAGTTTTTGTCTGACTCCTCCCCTCCTGCTGCATTTGAAGCACTTGTCTGACTCTTTCATTTCCTCATTCACAGAGTGCGTAATGAAGCTCACATTGGATAATGTTTGCAGAAGTTTAACATTTTAAAAAACCCTGAAATCCCACTTGGGTATTATTTTGTTACCCATTTCTTATATTTACCATTTATATTGATCAGTTTTATAACTAATCAGGACTGGACAGATTTAATATCAGCTCAGAATAACATTTATTGCCTGTGATTCTGTAACTCTGGAAAGTAAGTAAGGCATCTGTCAAGTTGTCAGCCTCTTCCCTTGCACTGAAACACTGAAACATTCACTTTAAAAAAATAAAATAAAATGGTTATTCTTCCTGTTGTGATTGGCCATGCTGCAAAGAACATTCCGATCATAACTGTGATCATGTTGGAGATTATTGGAATATTTCTCAGTGAATATGATCCAATAAAGTTATAAAAATGCACTCATTAAATGCTGTCAAGCAACTTTTGGAAATGCAATACAATTTTAAACTTTGAGCCTTGACATCTTTTTCACACCAAATCACCTTAATTGTTACTATGGATGCAGATTGTAATTTGATTTACAAAGGTCAATGTCCATAAACTCTCTGTTAATTACATGTAAAGACAAATCTTTCAAGCCTGTTGGTTTAATTTGTAATGTCCTTGGGATTTCCATACACCTGTTGCCATACTTCAGTATATAAGTGAAGTTTATTTTTAACACACCTTTCACAATTAAGGTCACAGAGTGCCTTACACCAAGATGCAAACACTAAAACAGACCCATGAACAACACAAGGTCATACACATAATTGCCCCAATGCTTTTCTGAATAGGAAGAGGTATTTTTAGAGGTTGCCTCAGAATAAGTCAAACAAGGAATGAGGAAAACTGATTCCACAGTTTTGGACCCACTTGCTAAAGACCTCTGTGTAAAAACCTTTTAAAATGACTATGAGGTATCAACCATAATCTCAACTGTGAAGACCGAAGAGACTGGTTAGAAGAGCTGGTTCATATGAGCTCTGAGATATACTGGGGTGATTAACATGTTTTTACTTAGCGGTGTTCCTTAGAGGGAAAAATTTAGGAATTAATGGGTTTCTGACATGACATTCCAGGAAAACACTACAGGAATAGAACATGCAAACTAGTTTTAGAGGAGGAGCTTTCTTTGACATTTCGGATGGTGATATCTGAAGCAATGATAAGAGTCTCTGTTTTGTCATAATTTACATGAGGAAAAGGAGCATTTAACCCAGACTTGATAGCAGTCAGACAGGTTTGTGGACCAGAAAGTTTGTTAGGTCAGAAAGAACAGGGCAGCTGGATATCATCTGCATAAAAATCGTAACATGTGTTTTTCATATTGATGATTATCTGTACAAGAGGCAACATTAACAAGGTAAATGTTACAGGTCCCAAATGTGATCCTAGGAAACACCACAGGATAAGGCGGCAGAAAGAGAAATTAAATCATGAAAGTCCTGAAATGAAATGAAGTTACGCACAGGGCGCAACTGTGTTTTTGGACCGAAAGGGGGTATTGTTGGTTGACTTTCTGCCTGTTGGGACCACAATAAATGCTGACAGGTACTGTGAAACACTGGAAGAACTCAGAAAGGCATTTCAGAACCGGAGAAGAGGAATGCTGAGCAAGGGCGTAAGCATTCTCCACGACACTGCGCGTCCACACATCGCCCGTCAAACTGTTGCTCTCCTGCATTAGTTTGGTTGGAACTTCATCACCCACCCACCCTACAGTCTGGACTTTGCACACAGTGACTACGACCTGTTCCCAAAGTTGAAAGAACATTTGTCCGAAAGGCGATTCTGCAGCGTCGGCGTGCAACTATGACATGGGCATTGTAAAACTGCCACAGTGTCTACAAAAATGCATTGACCGAAATGGCGATTATGTAGGAAAATAAGTCTTCAAGCTTTAAAATGATGTAAATATTCTGGAAAATAAACGGTTATTTGTATTTCTAAAACAATAGGACACCTTATTTTGGGATTGCCCTTGTACTTCTAAAAGTCTGCTTGAAGGCTGCTGGCTGGACACATGTGTAGTTAGTGCAGTGTAATGTGAATTCTCTGTGCATGAGTCCGCACAGTCCCAAAAGTGGCTGGCACAAGGATGTCCACATGGACCTTTGCGCTCACTGTCCAGTGATGAACCTAGCAAACCCACTTACACTGTTATTCGGGAGTACACTAGCAATATGATAGCCTGATGTGGGGTTTGTGTGTTCTTTTGGTCTCACACTTTTGTGTGAAAAGTTCACGTGAATGAACTGCTACACTACCCACCCAGCAGTACACAGAATATTTAATTGAAGAAAGTGTAATACATGTGCACATGATCCAAATCTGTAAGAAACCCTTGGATCTGTTTGTCACAATTTAGATATAATTGTTTGTTTGTCTTTTAAAAAAAATTGACAGTTTTTATCTTTCATAAATTGTAGGGTAATAGGTTGGTTTGTGTAATGGTTTGATATGCAGTTTGTAATTATGACTCAGTCCACATTATGGCATCAAATGGCAGGAACAACCTAGGA